TTCCATTCAGGCATAACTAATGTCTTCGGTTTTCTCCATACAACTAATTTTCATTTTTTTAAAGACTTCTCTGCTTTTCATCAAAGCTTGTCAACTTTTTCTAGGTCAAGTCTTTCAAGTGGCGCAGAAGCACCCCCACTGTAGGACTAGAAAGTATCACTGACTCCCAACTATATCAACTTTATTTCTTGTGTCGTTTTTGCTCTCAATACTTTCTCTTAAAATTACACTCTCCTTTATTTCACTTTCTGTTCACACCTTCTTAGTCTTCCCCTTATTGCCCCTAATCTGAAGATCTCAATGAGCAAGAATTAAATGTCTGAGCAATAAACACGATCTCACAAGAAGACACAGAAGAGGAGGATGAGCAAAAAAAAATTTCTGTCTGATGAAAGCTCCCTTGACAACTACAGCAGCACTGATAGGCACCGCTGAAATAATAGGAATGATACTCCAAAACAGCCAAGAAAATGTTACGAAACAGGAAAAAAAAAAAAAAAAAGTCTAAATTGATCTTTCCAAATGAAAATTTCACTGTCAAGTGAGGAGTATAACAAAAGCTTCCTAGGCCAGCTGTATTACCACTACAACAAAAGATTAAAAAAAAAATACTGAAAAATACCACCAAATCTGAAAAATTATGACCCGTTTTAGGAATACTATAGGCCTCAACACTGCAGAAGAGGAAAGGAGTCTATTGGTTCAGGGTGGGGGGGAGGTAGAGATCAGATCTTTGTTAATTTTTAAATCTTGAATTGCTCCCAAATGTGTCAACAGCAAAATAGCTACTAACTTCACTGAGAGCAAGATCAGACCCTAAGGGTATGTCTACACTGGGATAAAAAACCCACGGCTGGCCTGGGTCAGCTGACTCCGGCTTGCAGGGCTCAGGCTCCAGGGCTGAAATACTGCTGTGTAGATGTTCTGGCTCAGGCTGAAGCCCAAGTGAGGGTGGAGAGTCCCACAGCTCTAGCTCCAATCCAAGCCCAAGTGTCTACACAGCAATTTTTAGTCCCACAGCCCAAGCCCCACAATCCCAAATGAGCTGACCCAGGCCAGCTGCGGCGGTACCAGGGGGCTTTTATCCCCATGTAGATGTACCCTTAGTGGCATATGTGCAAATATCTACCACTGTCCAGGTGGCAACCTACTAAGCAGGTTCAGCAAAGAGGCCAAGAAGTTAACGAACACAATGAATGACCCTCTCCTCCTAGAGGAGGTCCCTCTAGGACAATACTGAGGCAATCCTGGGGAAGAAGATGAACTTTGTGATTAAGAAAGAGAACTAGAAGCAGGGGCACGTGCAGGAATTTAAATTTGACCCCTTTTGGAGGGGCACATTCTGGGCCCTCCCCCCATTCCTCGAGCTCACTCTCCCCCCTCCCCACCTGGCACTGGGAGGACCTCACTGCCCCCAACTGCCCTGGCAGGAGCTCACTCTTTCCTCTGCCCCAGCCCCCGACAGGAGCTCGCTCTGCCCTGCCTTTGCATCCCTGGGGCCGAAGACGTTCTGTGCCCCTGGCCCCAACTATTATTGGGGGGGCTTTGCCCCTGCTTGCCCCCCCCCTTGTGCACACCCCTGACTAGAAGCCAGAACATTTGGGTTCTATTCTTGGCTCTGCCAAAGACACTGATTTGGAAAAGTCACTTAATCCCTTCATGCCTCAACTCCTCCATGTATAAAATTAGGATAATTACAGCCACACTGGGGTGTTCAATGTCCGTAAGGCATTTGAGATAATCAGATGGAAGTTGTATTACTAGCGCTGTGGCAGAAATTGGTGCCTAGACACTATCATGATGGACACACAGAGACACCCACATTAGATGAGGGGGGCCTCATTTTGAGCACACTAACATATTGTAGGGTTGAAAGTTTTACTCACACTATTGGGCTCATGAGAACTCTACAGAACTAATTCTTCCCATTAAAAAGCTGTGTATTTCTCCTTTCTTTTATACCACGCATTCAGTAGGCCCTACATGTTAGTATTTGTTTGGTTTTTCCATTAAAAAAAAAAAACATAGAAATAAAATTAGCTGATGGTTTCCTGTTGGCCTGGGAGGGACATGTTCACGCTGCCTCCTGCCACTGGGCAGCTGGAGCAAAATCTAGACCCCTCAGCATGAGGCGCAGGAACTCTGGAACTCATTGCTAGAGGCACCACAGCCAAGAGTGGTGAATTCCAAAAATGGAATGAAGATTTATATAAATAAGAATATACTGAGTTAATAGTAAGGATTTAAAAAAAAAAAAAAAAACAGTGAAGTTTTGAAAGGGATAAACTCTCCAGCTCCAGAGTATAAGCCAATCTCTAACTATTGGGCATTAGGGAAAAATGACCCCCTGAGCAAGTTATTCTATACTGCCTGGCTACTACAGAGTTTTTTACACCTTCCTCTGAATCAGCGCTACTGGGCACTCTCAGACAGGAAACTGGACTGGACGGCCTGCGGGTCCAGAATTTGATAAAAGGGTTTTACGTTGGAAAATGATTAATCAAAACTAACTTTTTGCAGGAAATAACTGATTTTGACAAAAGTTACACAAGTCCAGAATGAAACGTCAGGCAACAGAGTGAGTAACTGACCCCAGCCCAAAACAGCGAATAACCCCGTGGTTAAGGCATTCATGTAGCATGTGGGAGATCAGGTTCAAGTCCCTGCTCTGCAGCAGGGCCTTCAACCTGGGCCTGCCACAAGCCCAGTAAGTGCCCTGACCACCAAGCTATTGTGGGGGTGAGACACTCACAGTCTCACCTGTGGGAGCTTTTCCACTTGGTATAAATAATTAAATAGTCACTACAGCAGGGACTTGAACCTGGTCTCCCACGTTCCAGGTCAGGGTCCTAACCACCAGGCTATTGAATCTAGGACTAGCATACACAAAAACTTTAAAAGGTCTCAGTTTAGCCATCTGGTTATTGGGGGGGGGGAGGAAGAAATCAACCTCGCTCTCTAAATTTTCAAAAAGTCTCAGTTTCCTCCCTATATGGAACTGGAGTAGGGTGACCAGACAGCAAGTGTGAAAAATCGGGACAGGGGGTGGGGGGGTAATAGGAGCCTATATAAGAGAAAGACCCCAAAATCGGGACTGTCCCTATAAAATCGGGACATCTGGTCACCCTAAACTGGAGACATTTTTAAATTGTGAAAATTTTCATGGGATAGGAAAATTGTTTCCTGCCAATCTGTACACTCGTCTGCTCTAGTATGACCTCTGCACCTACCATTCCGGCAATAGGTTGCTTTGATAAACATCTGAGAGGGTTCTGAGCTATCAACCTCCTGGAAATTCAGTTCTGAATTAGAGTTTGGGGGCTTCAGATTAGAGGCTCCAATTCAGTCTCACTGCAAAGATAGGTCCAAGTGCCAAAGTTTGGGCACGTTCAGGCCCCCATACTGCTTTGAGCCCACCTCTAGTTATAATACACTCAGACTCTACAGCATTGCACATGAAATATCAAATCCGGTTAGAACTGTGCCAAACAAATCACATGGCTAAATGAAGGGAGCAGTGAGTGCAGAGCATGCTGTCCTCTCCCTTTGCCCAGTCACACACTGCAAGCCTGGCACTCTGCATGCAGCTGGGCTGGGTTTGGTTAGTGCATGAAAGGGAAGAGGTGGAGGGCTCCAGTCCTCCCTCCCCAGCACTAGCCCAGCACCAAACTGTACCTCCTTTTCTCAGAGAGACAAGAGGGGGTGAAGTTATATCTTTTATTGGATCAACTTCAGCAAGACAGGAAGAAGAGCTCAGTGTGGCTTGAAAGCTTGTCTCTCTCACCAACTGAAGTTGGCCCAACAAAAGAGATTACCTCACCCACCCTGTCTCTCTAATATTCTGGGACCAACACGGCTACAACAACAACACAGCAAACTGCTCACGTAGGAACAGTGTGCTCTCTCTGCCCCCACACCTAGGGTTCTACCTGTTACATGGGCCACACCTCTCCCTCAACTAGCTGCTATTCGTCTGTTGCATGCACATGCTCACCCAATCCATGCACTCCCTCCCGCCCCATACACCCGAAAGCAGCTTATCCTCTAACAAAATACTACTTATAAATGCTAGACTTATTCTTATCAGATGCAGACCTTGCCAACCCAATTTGCAGCAGCCTCATCAGCAAAGGGCAGAGCCCTCAGACCATCAGCCAATCTGGTCAGAGGGCAGCCGTCAGTGATGTGTGACTTTGTCTGTCTTTGGTCAGGGTCGCATGTGGGACCCTCTTGTGGCTGCACACTGACTCTGGCCTGTTCGAAATCGGTTCCGAAGGGCCCACGGCTCGGCTGACAGGTAGCTACTACAGAACCTGGTGAAAGGGAAGCTCCCTCCTCCTGCCCCACACCTGGTAGAAAGGCAATGCCGCAGGAGGTGTGCAGAGGACCCCTTCCCCCCAAATTACTGATTTTACGAGGCAGGATAAACACGCATTGCACAGAGGACACTCCTCCCCTCCCCACCCACCCAACCTGTTGCGGCAGCTCGCTGACAGGCAGAGCCTGCCTGCAGGGCAGGGGACACACAGACACACCCCCAGCACTCCGTTGCTGCTGCCAGGGGCAGGAGCATGCCCCGCACGCAGATCTCCCCCCGTCTCATCCGCAAGTGCCGTCCCTAACCCCCAAGCACACACCGAACAGCAGCCCCTTCCCCACACTCCCCAGCTGTTGCTCCTGAATGCCAGGAGCGGGCGGGGGGCACTTCTTCTCCACCCCCCCACCCCAGCTGTTGCTAAATGACAGGAGAAGCAGGCACCGCCCAGAGAACCCCCAAATCCTCTCCTGCTGCAGCAAAAGGACAGGAGGCGCATGCACCTTTCTTTACCACGCCCCCCCCCCACCTGTTGCTGCTAAATAGTAAGGGGTGTCCAGGCTGCCCACCCCCCCCCGATGACAGGAGGCGCGTGCTGCCCGAGCTGCAGCGTGCGGACAGCAGTCACTTCAGCCCTGTCATCGCCACGAAGAGGGGGAGGGAGGCCGGGCGCAGAGGCACTTACCGGGATGTGCACTCGCAACATGCGTCTCCTCTGGCTGGAGCCTTTCCTGCCGCCGCTGCTGGAAGCATCTTTCTTCTTGGTGTCCATGGCAGTGCTTCCCATCCCGCTCAACAAGGCTGGACTCCAGAGGACGGCTCCCAAGCAAGGCTCCTCTTCCACCTCCCACCACTGTCCACCACCAGCAGCCAATCTGGGCTTGTTTTCAAACGCTCAGGAACTGGGGGGAAAGGGGGTGGGGGAACCAAAGGGGAAGGGAGGAGTTTCTCCAGCTGCGGTGTTTTAAACGGGGGCTGGGAGAGTTGCTAGGGGCCCCCGTCTCCTCCAGGAGCAAGATCATGAGACATCCTTCAAACTGCGGTTCAGTTTATAACTCTTCCGCCGCTCAACAATATCCGCAGACTCTTGGTGGGTGAGAAAGTTTCCTTCCCTTTGCACAGCGAAGTGACATGTCCCCCAGTACACGTGCCCCGGGGAGAAAGAGGAAGGTGCAGAAGTTGCGCTCGACACCGTTTGCCAATAAACACAATCCCTGGAGTCCGGATCCTGCGACTAGGTCCGTCCCCCTCTGTCAAGCAGGAGGCGGTGCAAGCGCTCCCTGAAACGTGCCTTCCTCTGGGCAGCTTCAGCAGCGAAGCAGGGCCAGACTCACGCAGGCCTGGAGAAGGCGGTGGTGCAAACAAACATTGCAATGTGGTTCCCCTTTCCGGCTGCAAGCCGGAATCCCAGGCAGGACTGATGATAACCAGGGACTGGAACTGCCAGGAGGCAGCACCCGGCCTTGAGGAGGAGGAGTTGCAAATGCTCTTTGCAATCTGGCTCTGCTGAAAACGAGAGGCTGCGCTTAACAGGAAGTGCAGCAAATCATAAAATACTTTCTCCCCGAGCGGACACTGCTCCCTTTACAGGCGTCCGTCTCCCGGGCATCTGCCAAAGCACCATGCTCCAGTCCAGGCAAGAACCCCCAGGCTTCCGGATCTCCCCTAATGATTCATGATCTGACGGCGACCGAGAGAGTGTAGCCAGTGTTTGGGAGGGGGGCTGTGAAGGCTGTTGCTGATGCACCAGGGACGGGCTGGATTTCACCCCTTCGCATGAAAAAGGAACAGCGACATTCTTCCCCTCCCCGCCCCCTAGGCAAACCCCCTTCCCTGGGATTTCTCGGGCATGCCAGAAATACAAGAGACGGGGATTATGGTCTCTAGTGCCATCCACCCAGAGCCTGCAAAGGGCACTCTGTACACACCCCCTTCCTCCTCCAGCCGCACTCACGAATCTGGCCGACGGGCGGCTCTTTCACCACCCCTTGCTTCCAGGAGCCATCAACGCAGTTGTTGCGCAATTTGTAACACTAATAACAACCTCGTCGCTGCAATGACCGCAGAGGGCCGGTAGGTGGCGCTGCCCACAGCTAGCAGCAGCGCTCCTGCCAAACTATCCAATACCGAAACTCAGAGAGCTTCAAAGTGGGGCCCTGGAGGAACATAGCGGGGGGCGCCGGGCGCCTCCGCCGCCTTGGGGCTCACAGCTGGAGCCCCCACTGCACCCAGCCTCACAGGGGGAGGCACCCGGGGCTGACGGGGGAGCCCCACAGTTAGCTGCCTGGGGCTTGGTTTCTGCAAATAGAAAGTTGGCAACACCTTTGTCCCGCCCCCTGCCCCACCCTTTCGCTGAGGCCGCCCCCCACTCACTCCATCCCCCCAGTCGCTCTGTCTCCCCCACCCTCACTAACTTTCACTGGGCTGGGACAGAGGGTGGGAGGGATCTGGCTGGGGGTGCAGGCTCTGGGGTGGGGCCAGAGATGAGGGGTTTGGGGTGCAGGACAGGGCTCTGGGCTGAGGCGGGGGGGGGGGCTCTAGGGTTGGGCCAGAAATGAGGGGTTAGGGTCCAGGAGCAGGATCCAGGCTTGGGCAGAGGGTTGAGGTGGGGGGGGTGGTGAAGGCTCCTGCTGGGGGTGTGAGCTCTGGGGTTTGAGGTGCAGGAGGGGGCTCAGGGCTGGGGCATGGGAGGGGGTTCAGTGTGCAGGCTCTGGGAGACACTTACCTCAGGCAGCTTGCGGGAAGCAGCAACATCTCTCTCCAGCTCCTAGGCGGAGGCGCAACCATGTGGCTCTGCGCTCCGCTCACACCTGTAGATGCCGCCCTCTTCGCTCCCATTGGCTGCTGTTCCTGGTCACTGGGAGTTGCTGAGCTGTTGCTGGGGGCGGGGACAGCGTGCAGAGCCCCCGTGGCTGTTCCTCTGCCTAAGAGCCAGAGGGAAAGAGAGAGATGCCATCAGCTGCACGGAGCCAGGTAGGGAGCCTGCCTGCGCCGCACTAGGGTGACCAGATGTCCCGATTTTATAGGGACAGTCCCGATTTTTGGGTCTTTTTCTTATATAGGCTCCTATTACCCCCCACCCCCGTCCTGATTTTTCACACTTGCTGTCTGGTCACCCTACGCCAACCAGACTTTTAATGGCCCAGTCAGCAGTTCGGACCACAGCCGCCAGGTCCCTTTTCGACTGGGCATTCCGGTTGAAAACTGGATGCCTGGCAATTCTATCCGCGTGGATGGAGCCCCACAGTTAGGTGCCTGGGGCTTTCAGCGAGAGTGCCACCTCCAGCCACCAGGGGCTAATAAAGGGAGCCCCGCCGCCAGCCCATCATTTCTACAGCAACAACTACCTTTCCCTCCTTCCTGGTTAGTATCATGTGCTGTCCTAATAACAAGCAGTTGTGCAGTGCTTATTCCGCTGGTGAGTTTGATATTTTTTCACATCATTGTGTGGTGAAAAATGGATCGTACTTATTGCCAAACGATGGTAGTGTTCCAAAACGAAAGCTAGAAGCTGAAATGGCTAAAGTTGATACAAAGAAAAAAAACAAGAAAATATGATTAAACATATTTGGATTTTGGTTTCACTTCCATTGCAGTTAATGGAGAAATTAGGTTTCAGTGTGTAGTGTGTGCAGTAACTTTAGCAAACAGTAGCCTGAAGCTAACAAAATTAAGACACCATTTGGAAACAAAACACAGCGATCTGGTAGGAAAGAACAGAGATTTTTTCCGAACGAAAGCTGCAAGAAATTAATAAACAAAAAAACACAATGAAAAATGTGGTCTCCACCCCTGCAAGTGCTTTAAAAGCATCATATCAAGTTGCATACCACATTGCCAAGAATAAAAAGCCTTACACAACTGGGGAAAAACTGGTTCTCCCAGCTGCAATTGACATTTGCAGGATGATGCTTGGTGACAGTGCGGCAGAGAAGTTAAAAATGATCAGCCACCAAATCTCTGACATGTCAGAAAATATCAAGGCACAGCTGATCTCTCAATTGCAATCCAGTTTATTTGCAATCTGGTTGGAAGAAACAACGGATATAGCAAAAGAAGCTCATTTAATTGCTTATATTCAGTACTCACACAAAACATCAATATTGGAAGATGTTTTGTTCTGCAAGCCAATTAAGATGCGTGCAGCTGGATCTGAACTGTTTAACATTTTGAACAACTTCCTGACTTCTCATCAGTTGAAGTAGGAAGCCAGGTGTCTGAACCTGCGTGGATGGAGCCCCTTCTATGTCTGGAGGTAGGGCAGACTTGAAAGCCAAAGTGTTTGAAATTGCTCCACATATATCATGGACGTGGACTCATTGTATGCTACACCGCAAAGCTCTTGCAACTCGAAACATGTATTGGGAACTTACAGATTTTCTGAGTTCTGCTATTAAAAGCATGAACTTTATCAAGACACAGCCCACAAAGGCACGTCTCTTTGCAATGCTTTGTGCAGAAATCATAGAATCATAGAATCATAGAATATCAGGGTTGGAAGGGACCTCAAGAGGTCATCTAGTCCAACCCCCTGCTCAAAGCAGGACCAATTCCCAACTAAATCATCCCAGCCAGGGCTTTGTCAAGCCGGACCTTAAAAACCTCCAAGGAAGGAGACTCCACCACCTCCCTAGGTAACGCATTCCAGTGCTTCACCACCCTCCTAGTGAAATAGTGTTTCCTAATATCCAACCTAGACTTCCCCCACTGCAACTTGAGACCATTGCTCCTTGTTCTGTCATCTGCCACCACTGAGAACAGCCGAGCTCCATCCTCTTTGGAACCCCCCTTCCGGTAGTTGAAGGCTGCTATCAAATCCCCCCTCATTCTTCTCTTCTGGAGACTAAACAATCCCAGTTCCCTCAGCCTCTCCTCATAAGTCATGTGCTCCAGACCCCTAATCATTTTTGTTGCCCTCCGCTGGACTCTTTCCAATTTTTCCACATCCTTCTTGTAGTGTGGGGCCCAAAACTGGACACAGTATTCCAGATGAGGCCTCACCAATGTCGAATAAAGGGGAACGATCACGTTCCTCGATCTGCTGGCAATGCCCCTAGTTATACAGCCCAAAATGCCGTTAGCCTTCTTGGCAACAAGAGCACACTGTTGACTCATATCCAGCTTCTCGTCCACTGTGACCCCTAGGTCCTTTTCTGCAGAACTGCTACCTAGCCATTCGGTCCCTAGTCTGTAGCAGTGCATAGGATTCTTCCGTCCTAAGTGCAGGACTCTGCACTTATCCTTGTTGAACCTCATCAGGTTTTTTTTGGCCCAATCCTCTAATTTGTCTAGGTCCCTCTGTATCCGATTCCTAACCTCTAGTGTATCTACCACGCCTCCTAGTTTAGTGTCATCTGCAAACTTGCTGAGAGTGCAGTCCACACCATCCTCCAGAACATTAATAAAGATATTAAACAAAACCGGCCCCAGGACCGACCCTTGGGGCACTCCGCTTGAAACCGGCTGCCAACTAGACATGGAGCCATTGATTACTACCCGTTGAGCCCGACGATCTAGCCAGCTTTCTATCCACCTTACAGTCCATTCATCCAGCCCATACTACTTTAACTTGGCAGCAAGAATACTGTGGGAGACCGTATCAAAAGCTTTGCTAAAGTCAAGGAATAACACATCCACTGCTTTCCCCTCATCCACAGAGCCAGTTATCTCATCATAGAAGGCAATTAGGTTAGTCAGGCACGACTTCCCCTTGGTGAATCCATGCTGACTGTTCCTGATCACTTTCCTCTCCTCTAAGTGTTTCATAATTGATTCCTTGAGGACCTGTTCCATGATTTTTCCAGGGACTGAGGTGAGGCTGACTGGCCTGTAGTTCCCCGGATCCTCCTTCTTCCCTTTTTTAAAGATGGGCACTACATTAGCCTTTTTCCAATCATCCGGGACCTCCCCCGATCGCCATGAGTTTTCAAAAATAATGGCTAATGGCTCTGCAATCTCATCCGCCAACTCCTTTAGCACCCTCGGATGCAGCGCATCCGGCCCCATGGACTTGTGCACATCCAGTTTTTCTAAATAGTCCCGAACCACTTCTTTCTCCACAGAGGGCTGGTCACCTTCTCCCCATACTGTGCTGCCCAGTGCAGCAGTCTGGGAGCTGACCTTGTTCGTGAAGACAGAGGCAAAAAAAGCATTGAGTACATTAGCTTTTTCCACATCCTCGGTCACTAGGTTGCCTCCCTCATTCAGTAAGGGGCCCACACTTCCCTTGACTTTCTTCTTGTTGCTAACATACCTGAAGAAACCCTTCTTGTTACTCTTAACATCTCTTGCTAGCTGCAACTCCAAGTGTGATTTGGCCTTCCTGATTTCATTCCTGCATGCCTGAGCAATAGTTTTATACTCCTTCCTGGTCATTTGTCCAATCTTCCACTTCTTGTAAGCTTCTTTTTTGCGTTTAAGATCAGCAAGGATTTCACTGTTTAGCCAAGCTGGTCGCCTGCCATATTTACTATTCTTTCTACACATTGGGATGGTTTGTTCCTGCAACCGCAATAAGGATTCTTTAAAATACAGCCAGCTCTCCTGGACCCCTTTGCCCTTCATGTTATTCTCCCAGGGGATCCTGCCCATCTGTTCCCTGAGGGAGTCAAAGTCTGCTTTTCTGAAGTCCAGGGTCCGTATTCTGCTGCTCTCCTTTCTTCCTTGTGTCAGGATCCTGAACTCGACCATCTCAT